GCATCTCAGTGTTGGATCGATCAACGCCAAGTTCCGTCCACACCCTTGTCCTGGTTTTTTGCGGAGATAGAAAAGACGTTTTTTAATGCACCATCGGTGATTCCGCTTCATCTTCCTAATGGCCAACTCCGCATATGGACCCATTACAATTTTGGAAACAGCTCGAATTTTAGAGGCATTCCAGAAGTATTGTTAACATCCAATCACTATTCTCGTGCATTCGGTTCGACTTCATACGACTGGCGTCGAGCGCACCTCGGTCCCACAGGGAAGGTACAGTACGCGGCAGAAAACGATGATATGCATCGTGACTATGCTAAGCCACGGACTCTGTACGCGTATGACATCTGACGATTGCATCATTTATTCTTGTCGCCATCGCCATCGAAGGAGTCGGGGCTCAATCGCCGGTCGCGGCTCCCAGGAATCCGAAGCACCATTCTACCGTCGTTTACTGTGGGTGCAATTGCTGTCGTGTTCAGCCTCACCCAAGGAAGATCTGAATTATTGGTTCGCAGCCAAGAGCGGACCTAGAAACAGCGGTATCGCAAAGAGGTTGAGAGGATTGATTGGCCCGGTTTAAGAGTGAACAGGATCGCACCCAGCAGAATGTTCAGTGTAGCTTGATGTATATATTGTTTCTATTCATTTTTATGGTCCTCGTAGTAGTCGTAGACAACATGTCTACTCGTATTTATCGTTACCATTTACTCCTTTTGTTCGTATATTCGTAGCTAATCATAAGTTCATATAATCTATCCATGAGTGCTTAAAGTACATGGAGTGAAACATCACCTTGTATCTCGCTACCGTCTTGGGACGCTAGGATGGAGGCATCGCAGGCTCCTAGGAGGAACTCACGTCCAGCCGGTGCTGGACGAACAACCCCCACCGTGCGGAGACAATACTATCCGTAAGAGGACAGTAAGGGCACTAGTGCAGCGGAGACCTAGCATGTCCGTGTGACAGATGGTCCCGAGCATTAGCGAGAGGACAGAAGACCTCGTTCACCTCAACCACGCTGCCTGGTTCGCCCTTACAAGCAACCCCGATGTAGACAGGCCTCGGCGGGACAGTCCCGACGAAGCCTGTCAACTCTCAGCTCTCTACTTTGTCGTTCAACTTTTCAAATGGGAGGGTGCTTTTGCCACACCGACACTCAAATATGATGCAATCGAGCAAACGGTTCACTTGGTCGTTCAAATTGAGAACAACGATCTTTTGACAGTGTTTAGCCCAATTTTCGATCACTGAAGGCGCTTAGCGCCTGATCTGACGACAGGAATTAGAAGTCCTCCTCCTCCCAGATCAATGGCTCAAGCAGATTATGAATTCCTGCCGATTCAAACAGTCATTCACTCCAACCAGACAGGATTCCATCTGAATTAGCACTTGCAACATCCTTGGGAAAGTTCACAACCGTGAACATCCGCAGTCTAGTAATAGCGACGACGGCTTGCAGCGTCGAATAAAAAGCGCAAAGTGCAGCTACGTCCACGCCTGCTATTCCTCGACTATTTTGAAAAACTGAACTCATTTCGACTCCTACTTTTTCGAAATCGTGTTTCTCTGATTGCTACATTTCTAAGAAGAGGGTCTTTCCTAGCTGAAATTCCATTGCTCAGATGGAATCTTTTCAGACCACCCCTCGTCTCCATTTCTTTTTCGCGTCGTTGATAGTTCCGATGATGAGGCCAACACCAACCTTTTGAGAACTTTCAGTTTGACGCTATGGATTGAACAGACCTCTATTTTAGAATGAATTCCAATATTTTTCCGAAGTCACCTGTTTCTTTTATGCTTGGAAGGAGTGACAGAGTAATGTCCACTTGTCAGTATTTTCCAAAGATATAGCCGACTTTGAACCACAATTCCGCAGATTACTTTTGTTTTTCTTTGCATTCTTAAAGTCGGAATTTTGAATAGGCTATGAACAATGTTTTATGGGTTGCTATAAACTATTAAAAAGAAATCTTGCCTCAAAAGAATTTTCGACTGTGCCCCAAGACAGAATAGTGAGAACAGACGCGAAGATTGTCAAATAAATGTTGAAATTCAACCAAATCTCATCGTTATTGTCTGTCTGTTCGAGTTTATATTCGTATCTATCGGGTAATTGTATGACTGCTTTGTTACTCCTTAAAATAGCCATATATTTTGAGGTTCGATTGCTGTATTTACACTCGGAGATTTTTCGGTCGAATAGTAAAGCTGAGTAGCGATATTGTTGTCTGAACAGTTGTGTCTTTTTATACAATAACTAATTGATTTTGCAGCTTGAGTGATGCACTCCAATGTTCCGTCTCATTCCCACTCGAACCCTCCACCACCGCATCATCATCATCACAGCAATAGACATGGACCAAAGTAAGACGATTTTATTCCGATTCTTTTCAACTTTTTCAGGGCTAAATAAGGACTTGATGAAATCAAATGTGTAAATTAATGGCCTACACATTTGGACTAAAGATTCTATGACTCTTTTCGAGAAGGGCACATCGATAGGATAAATTTCTCATTCAAAGGAGTTGCTTGGAACATATGATTCGGGAAGTTAAACAACTTTCTCAGCAGTACACTCTTTTGTTGAGTGAAATGACTCGAAAGCTTCCATTGCACTTCAAAGTTAGAAAAGTCTTTCCAAAACTTCTCCCCAAGGCGTCCCAAGATTCTGCAAACCCCCTTGCCGAATTGTTGGAATTTTTTTCGTTTTTTTTTTATTTCTTCGGCTTCATCGCCAAGGCTGACATTTCTTTCAATGGCACAGATTACGAGAAATATGTGAATGCAGATCTAAGATTTATTCATTATCAGTTATTGTAGGAAAACATAGTTATTCCTTGTCAAAAAAGATATATTCATCTATATATTGACTGGAAATAACTCATCGTGGTCTATTGATGTAGATTAATTTTAAAAACATGTAGTTATCTTTCAAGATAAATNCGATACTTAGTCGTTAGCTTAATATATCTGAAAGTTGTACAAGCGACAATTAATTAAATGAAAATCAAAGGGGTGTTCGGGTAATGAAGGATGCATGGGAGAGTAAGTGGGCTTTGGAAGGTGGGGTAGCGTCCGGGCGTTGCCTCCTATTTTAAATGAAACCTAAACAAGAGAAAGTAACGTTAAAACAAGTTTAAACGGGTAACATTGTTAAATATGATTCAGCAGGTGAGAACGTGTTTAGACCTGTCTGTCTTATTCCTTGAACTTATATTCAATTTTGAACCCATTTATCGGGTAATTATGGACGACTTCTTTTTGGATCCAATTTTCGAGTTAGTTTTTTTTTCCTTTCCCCTTATAGAAATACCACTGACTTACCCATTTTCCATTTCTTACCCATTAATTTGGGTGCAATTTGCCTCCGCACACTACTTACTCTCATATTTTTATCTCAATTCCAGCAAATGTCTATTCGTGAATTGGAAAAGATTTTGTTTTGTTCGCTGATTTTCCATATTTTTTTGGCTGGATTTTTTTCTTCAGTCTACGAGTTATCCTCACTTTCAAGGTAGTAGGGCTGATTTTTGTTAACTTTCAAACTGAACTGATCACATATGATTTAATAAGTTTGCCACTGTTCTTCCAAACATATATTGCATAGTTCTGATGAAAAAAAAACCCCAAAGAGTCAATTATCAATTGCCCAACTTTTATTTCTGACGCTGAAATTCGCTGCTTTAGCTCGTCATCGGCAGCTCAAATGAATGGTCAAGTACAGCCGCCACATCCTCCTCCTCAAATCACTCCAGAGGAAATGGCTGAAATGGATCGGCAAAAAGTAAGCTCTTTTCTCTTTTCAAGATGAACTACACTTAGTTGAAATCAAGTTTTTCAGGTGACACCTGCGTTGATAAAGTATGTCGAGGATTTCAGATTCCCCTACATCAGCGATGTCAGTAATTATGAGAAGCTTTTGAAAATAGGACAAGGAACTTTTGGGTAAGTTAGGGCAGTTTTATACTCTACAGCTCTTACATGCCCATCATTTTCAGAGAAGTCTTCAAAGCTAGGTGTAAGAAAACCGGTAAAATGGTGGCCCTCAAGAAGATTCTTATGGAGAACGAGAAAGAGGGTGTGAGTGACTATCTAAATATAAGAATATTTTTTGCAAATTTTGGGCTTTTATCAAAGCTTTTCAGTTCCCTATCACAGCATTGCGGGAAGTGAAAATGCTTCAACAACTCAAACATGAGAATATTACTGATCTTATTGAAGTGTGCAGCAGTAAAGGTTAGTTCTACTTTTTCCGAATTTTCTTTTTATCTGGAAGTTAAGTCAAACTGTTCCTGAGTCATTGCCAGTATCTTGCAGCTTCTGCACATAACCGTGATCGCTCAACATTCTATTTGGTATTCGCGTTTTGTGAACATGATCTTGCTGGGTTACTAAGCAATCACAAAATCAAGATATCGTTGGTTCACATTAAGACAATGATGAAGGTATGGTTAATAAATCTAGTTTCACTCTGTGGCTTTAATTCAGTCAATCATTGTATTTGAGCTGGCTTACGTTAATGTTGAAATGATGACTTTTAGCACCTTTTCAATGGTCTATGGAAAATTCATCGCTCTAAGATTTTGCATCGAGATATGAAAGCTGCTAATGTTTTGCTTTCACGGGACGGAATCCTAAAGCTAGCCGATTTCGGACTTGCTAGACCGTTTTACATGGGTACGTTGCCTCAGATATTGAAATATCAGCTTTTGATTTATTTATTTATTTATTTCTATCAGTTCAACGCTATGACAAGCTAACATATAAAAAAACAACGTAAAAACCCAAGTACCGATAGGAAAAACACAAGGAACTTATCAATGACCAATGAAATACCCGAATAATTTCAGTTTCAGTTTGTGATGTAGTATATAAGAAAGAAGAGAAAAAAAAAGGGGGGGNGGGGGGGGGGGGGGGGGCAGAAGGAGGCCGCTGGCAGTGGAGTGAAGGACAGCGCAGAAGGGCAGTGGGCCGCCAACACTGCAAGTTCTCAAGGCGTGATATGAGAACTCCGGATACTATCGTAGTTGGTCCGCCAACGTTGCTGAAATCCACTTGCTACAGCGGTAGAAACGTCGAGGGGAGGAGGGGGGCCGTAAGGCAGGGATGCATATGGCGCATGACAACAGAATCAAATAGAGCAAACTACAGGAGAGAGAAAACCACTGAGAGAAGAAGGGTACAGCGGCAACTTCATACGTGACCGGAAACAAATTCCAAGGTACACTGAGACAAAAGGAAATCGTCACAGTAGAGCTAATCAGAGACTTGGAGAAGGATCAGTATCCAGGTAAAAAAAAGATGCGAGCAATCGCTTCTCGTCCTTAAAAAAAAGATTATTTCGGAAGTAAAGCCAGTTGAATTCGAGTTAACTATGAATTTATCGAACAACCATACTGGACCGCTAGGTGGTGACTTTCGCTAGGTGCGAAATCAGAGTTTTTAAGACGTAATGCAAGATGACTCTGGAACATAGAAGCATGTTTCCATCTGAAAAAGTTGGATTCTAAGCTGTTCCAAAGGTTGACTACTCGTACAAGGAATGAGTCCTTGAAGGCAGACGTGTTAAGTTTATAGGGTCGCACACGGTAAGGGTGCCCCCTAGAGATGCCTATGGTAGGAGGGATTTCGAATAGGTCGCGCAATTTTAAGGAGATCTCTCCAGATTTACATCAGCTAGATTCCCTTATGAAATAATAGGATCTAAATCAAACTACTTGAGCTGGTAAAACTGCTTTTCTTCAATCGTTTTATTTTTTATTTTTGTTATTATTCCAAATTTATTTTTGTTTCATTCATTCAGCTTTGGTTCAGCGTCGCATAATAGCATCAAATACTTAGCTCTTTTTTGATGCGCTCATTTTTAGGTCATCCGCGTCAACTCTACACAAATCGTGTCGTTACGCTATGGTATCGGCCTCCAGAATTATTGTTAGGTTAGTCCATGAACACATTCCAAACATACAAAGCGTTTCGGAACAATTCTTCTTATTGTAACTTCCCCAACAGTTTCAAACGTTTCCATTCGATGACCATTGCTTAGGACTCTTAGAGGCACACTAGGCTCGGTTCAACCTAATGGCTGTGGGTTGATGAAATATGGCCATTGGGTTAAGCGCTTCAAAATCACTCCCATTGTCACTGATCGCAGAGTGGCTCATAGGGCAACGCCGTTTCACGTAGACAAGATCATCATAAGAGCTTACGGAATGAATCGATTTCTTCGGGAGCTAGGTACTTGACGTTTCACTTTGGTTAATCGCTTTACAACAAGAACTAGAACTTTTCTGCTTGCTGAATTCCTTCTTGAAAATAGTGCTCGGGCAAAACGAGCTCTTCTTTCTGGTTTTCGAGAAAAACCAGCGCAGAAATCGTTGTAAGCCTACAGTCCGTTTGCTCGTTTAGGAGATAGACAATACACGACGTCAATAGACATGTGGGGAGCCGGATGTATCATGGCTGAATTATGGACTCGTTCACCGATTATGCAAGGGGATACCGAACAAAAGCAACTCACCATGATTTGTAATTTGTGCGGATCAATCGACAAGGATTCTTGGGACAAGGTTTGTGTATCTTAAAATTCACTAAATCAGCTTCTAATGTCTTTTGTTGGTAGTTGCTCAAAGTTCAAATAAGAAAATAAATACCAGTTCAGCTCTCTTGATTGGTAGCATCCGAAAATTGTTCATAGTCAATGTATTTTACGGAACCAAAGTACTTTACAGCCTGCTATCAAGAACTGGTTTAAGTAAGCTGTTAGATTTGTTAGTAACTTCATTTTTTAGGTGAGCGAATTGCCGTTGTTTGATCGAATGGAACTTCCTGCTGGTTTACCACGAATACTTTCCCAACGTATGAAAGTGTACATAAAGGTGAATTTTGCAGTTAACTGCCTCTTTTCAATCTATCTTCGTTAATTTTCTCATTCCTTTTATGTCTGAAATGGACGCAGTTCACTCTTTAGCTACATTTCTCCAGTCCCCTGATTTTATTCCTGGACAGCACGGACATAGGTGCTAGCGTCGTTGCTCACTAAAGAAAAATATTTCTACCTAGGAAGGATGGGCCAGATCTATCTTTTTCTGTGGTAGCATACTGGTGCGGTCAGAGAACTCAGAGGTCAAAGTAGTCACAGGTGTCAGTAACTCAGAGTACTGAGAGGTCAGAGTAGTCACAGTTGTCAGTAACCCTTTCCACACAAAATTTCATTCTTTGACTTCATTCTCATCAAACCAGTTGCTTACATAAGTACTTTCCATATTAACATGTTTTGGAATTTCCCAATCGTTATAAGGGATTGCGTGGAGACGTGCTGGCATATGGGCGTGAATTCTGCAAAATTAGCTATTCCGAAGAAAGACAAAGTAATCATGGTTGTAAGTGGAGGGGCTGAAATATTGAGAGCAAATTTTGAAAGACATGCATCCTGCATACCTATTAATAGCCCTGAAATGTCTATCGCTGTGTTGGAATCAGATTTTTTTTTACCGATCATTGTTGCTCTGCAAATTAAGTTATTTAGGATGAGCTCGCCGTATGTTTGATTGACGAGTTGCTAACGCTGGATCCCAGCAAGAGATTGGAAGCTGAAAAAGCCTTAGATCATATGTTCTTCTACACGGCGCCTTACTCTAAAGATGATTTCAAGGACCTAATGGATACTGTGAAGGTGGGCTTATCCGGATTTTCCTGAAGGAGTACTTTTTATTCAGTTCAGTTTTTAATATTTGCAACTCATTTCAGACCTCTCAGTTCGAGTATACTGCTGGAGGTGGAGCGCACGCTAATAGGGGTAGAGCAGTTGGAGCTGGGCAACGTATGCCGCATCGTCCACAAGTTACTCAAACGGGTCAATTCCACGATATGATTTTTTAAGTTGTTGAAATATTGGAGGTAAATGAATTGATAGGACTTGATTACGTGCTGCGTCAGGCATGAGGGCCTGAAGAAGAAAGTTTCCACAAATGTTTAGATGTTAGATCATTTTGTTTGGGGTCACATGTTTGTTTTATTTTTTGAATTTGATCCAAGTCGGGTGTACATTTGTATATTGTTATATTTCTCGTAGGCATCTTTGTTCCAAAAGCAATTTCAGAATTACTGAGCAAAAGTTTCTTTTTGTATATAATGCAGTTTCCTGTTATTGTGATTTGTTCACTTCTTTCTAATGAAATCGTTTGGCATCCTTGACAAAGCCCCTTAACGAATTTTGGCAGTCTGTCCTTTGACTTGCTGTAATTGCGATCATTTGTGTTCCTTTTCTTTTTACTATTTAGCCATGCCTTTCACTCTTAGACCGTGGCATCTCTCTAAATAGCCCAAGAAATGAAATCATTCTACTTTGAAGTGTGCTTTGACGGAATAGTTTCTTTTTATTTGTTAAGGCCAGGTAACACACAAATAGTTCAGAGATGCAAATTTTGGATCAGTCATATCGTATATGGAGGGTTACAGAGGATATTTGATAACTGGCACTTGGCGGTAACTGTTCTTTGAAAGTACCTGGGATTCGAACTCTGATCTAAGCTCGTCCAGGCTAGCTAAGTCCTCTATCCACCGAAGGTTGTCTAACTGGTTTAAAAGTCGTCTGGCTGGATAAAACCACTGATTTGGACATCTGTTCATCACGGCCAAATATGCCACTGTAGTGGAAGTCAGATGTAGTTCCTCCCTTTTATGACATCAGAGTTTAGCCTTGGCCTTCTATAGTATCAACGAAATCCTTGATCAGATTCACGTCACGTATTCCCCCATTCAACAATTAACTTCAAACACCTGTTCCCTAGACCTCATCTTTCCAAATGGGCATGGTAACCCCAAAAAGATTTACAGAACGAGGTGGGTTAACATCTTGGTAACTGGTTTTATAAAAAAAAAACATAACAGGAACTCATTGCTTATTTTGAGGCAGCACTCTTAATAGTTCTCTAAAAAAAGAATCGATGAAGAGAATGGCAAAATAATAAGAGACTTTGTGCTGTCTCATTCGCTTTGAACAAACATTCCGTGCCATAAAATGGTTTTGCGGAAATTTTCGTGTGCAGCCACTCGGCCGGCAAAGAAGTCAATATGTGGCGCTGCTATATCGAGTAGTCGTGCAAACGAGGTTGTCGAGTAGAAAAAACTGAAACGTCCAAAGGATCGAATGTCCTTTAGGACTGCCACTGTCCGCCCTCTCTGAACCGACCTAGTCTAGGCCTGTGTAGAAAACGGTGTAGAAAACAACCGAAAGCGGAGTTAATCGTATTTAGCTAGCTAAGTAGTGGCGTTTTTTTTNTTTTTTTTAGTTAGCAAGCTTTTCAATCATTATGACAAGCCCTACTTTTGCTCTTGCTATGCCAGAAGGCAAAAGGGGTTCCCGCGCACTTCGTTAGTACCACCTCGACGACGAAGCACACAGAATCCGCCTTTCCTTCCTCATCACTCCACTTCCGAGAAAAACCAGATAGTTTCGACTAAATTTAATCTTCATTGTGAAACCTTCATATTAACGAGAATTGAACACGAGGCAGAATTAACTGGGAAAATATAAAATGTTAGAGAAAATCAAATTAGAACCTTCTTCTTACCTAAATATGTCACGGGGGCAGCGATGAAAAAAGAGCATAAGATCGGAGATTGAAGTACACTTAGAAACTATCAATAACACAGGCGCATTAGTTTCAAGGGTTATACTTTCAATAATAGGGATTTATAATCTGCCATCCAGTATTCAAATAACAACAAGTTACGGAAGAAAAATGCAACTGAATTCAAATAAAAACAAAATTTACAAAATAGCTTGACAAGGATACAACATGAACTTTCGGCAACTTACGATGAGAAAAGGAAGAGATACGGCATTCCCGTTCAACTGATACAAGGAAAAATTAGTCATCATACTAAAAGGAGCTCACTACTTTTTGCTGCTGAACAGAAGCCCACTAGAATTGTTTGTAATGGTTGAACCAAAACTAAGGGTTGGCTTCGGTGCTGTACTTGAAGTCGAAGTCAACGACGAAAATAGAGGTCCAGCAGTTGATGTAGTTAACGAAGGGAAGAGCGATGTGCCTCCTGTAGAAGTGCTTGCAAAGGAGAATGGTTTTGCAGCCGTTGTGCTGGACCCGAACAGAGATCCTCCGGTTGTCGATCCAAACAGACCTGAAGAATCATAATTTATTAAGGCGATTCAATATTATTACCCTAAAATTCCATAGATAAGAGCGGTTAAAACTACCGGTGAAAAATTAATCGGAATGAAATTGAAATTGAATACAGTCACCCTCTAACTTGATGGATGGNCCATCCATCAAGTTAGAGGGTGACTGTATTCAATTTCAATTTCATTCCAATTAATTTTTCACCGGTAGTTTCAACCGCTCTTATCTATGGAATTTTAGGGTAGTAGAGAGAAACATAGTCCTGATTGCTGCTGGCATGATAAAAACCAAACGAACCAGTTCCCGTCCCAGCTGGAGCGGCGCTTGCTGCCGCTGGTTTCAATTGCTTTCCTAGTTCAGCTATTGATGATTGGGATGGAACGAAATCGTTTCCACGAAGTTTATTGAAGGACAGTGACGTATCAGCTCTTCGACCAACTGTGTCTCGCGGTATATACAGAGATCCATCCGCTGTTAGGATTGATTTGGCATCCTGAATATTGTTCTTCAAAAACCAAAGAGATCTGAGTAAAGGAGGTGTATGAAGCAATCCTCAAATAAAAATAAACGAATTAAGGCGATGAATTTGAACATGAAGGGCCGACTGCGTAAAACAATCACCTGTACTCTTCGTGAAGCTTCGAACAATCTGGTGGCCACACGTGTAAATGCAGTGTCGAAACGAGTCAGAAGTTCTTTCAAATCCGCAACCGTCATAGATGGCTGAAGAGTTCAGTATCTATCTTCTCTAGGGTTCTCTCTTACGCTACTCTCACTCAGAATGGTAGTTGCACTGCTCATAGGCTTACACAATGGTTTGCGTAAGTGAGCGAGTGGAAGTCGTGCTTTTATCTTTCCGAACAAATTAAGCTCTAGAAGTAGCAAGAATGGAAAGTGAGCAAGGCGGTCACGAGAGTATGTGTGTAAAGCGGTGTTCCACTTAGCTCTCCCTTTACTGGTGGTTTTGTTCACGTGCGCTAGTTTCCACCAGTAAATGGAGAGCTAAGGATGCACTTAAGGTTTTACATTAAGGAAAAACAATAGTTTCCTTCCCATCCCTCTGAAGACGCGTGTTGTGGAGTGAAGCAGCAATTCATAAGTAGAGATAATTTTATAACACAATAAATATAAACAACTCTGTCTATAAAGATAGGCCGCACGACATACCTTTCCATTCAGAACGTCACTCAATTTTGCACTGATATCCGTAACAGCGTCCTGGTAGCAATTGACTGCTTCATCATATTCTCGAATGATTTCGACCATGTACCTGAAATGAGAAGACAGTTATACAGTTCGTTCAGCCCCTTTTCCCGAAATGGATCTTAACTGAGGCCAGTAACATAAAAAAACATACTCGATGATTTGTGCATGCGAGCTGATGTGCACACTTTTGTTGACAGATTCTTGTACACGTTGAGCAATGTCACCCAAGTGTAAATCCTTTGTAATGCGCCTACTAAGCTGTGCACATTTCATATCGCATTCAGCTGTCTTACTGTACACCTCGCACAGCTTGTGCTCAACCTACAAGTAATCAACGGTTAGATCGAGGCTAACCTGAAATTTCTGGGCAAAAAAAGTATGAAAAAGGTAAACGAAATGATAAAAATGTAGAAGGAAAAATAAATGAAATAGAACAGAGATACGAAAGATACGAGAAGAAAAAAGGATGAAAGCGAAATAGAAGCCAATTACCTCCTTGATCTGATCTTTCACTTTGATTGTCGTGTCACTGGAATTCGCCGTGAACTCTTCTGCCAATTTTCTATTCTCCTTCAGTTTTTCTCTGGAGTGGGACTGATCATTAGAAATTTAAATGAAAAGAAGCACTCAAACTGGAATGTGCTTGGTGCAACAACGCTCGAACCTCAACTGTATGGCGACCTCACGGATAGGCTTTGGCACGATCCCATCGCGTAAGTTTTCCTTCTCTGTTGTAGTGCCAGAAGTAGTAGCACCAATACCAGGAGTTGCACCGAAACCTAACAAGAGGTAAAAGAATAAATTTTGAATTCGCAATAGGCAGATAACTTAGCAAAATTAATCGATGTAATTAATTACCAGATGCTTGTGTTGTTCCTCCAAGACCGAGTGAAGGTGTGGTTGTTGTTGGGGCAGTACCTGAACAACCAATTGTCGTCAATAACCATCGAGGGGTACTTTTTTTTTGCAACTCTCACCTCCCAGAGACGTTGCTCCAAATAATGACGGTGTCGTGGTCGTTTTAGCACCAAACAATGGGGTCGAAGTTGTAGTGGTAGGCTTCGCACCGAACAACAGTCCCCCAGCAGTAGTGGAGGCAGTGGTGGTGCTAGCTGCTGCACCGAAAAGACCCCCAGAGGTAGTTGTAGCTGGAGCTAACGAACCTAACAGGCCAGTTGATGAGGTAGTTGTTGCTGTCCCGAAGAGGCTCGGAGCAGTCGACGACGATGTAGGAGCTGTTCCAAACAAGGGCGCAGAGGAAGTCGCGGCTGTAGTTGGTGCTGCTGTAGAGGTTGTAGCGGCAGAAGTACCAAAAAGAGGTGTTGCTTGGGTAGTGGCGGTGTTTGACGTCACGGTACCGAATAATGAAGGTGCAGATGTGGTTGTCGCGCCAAGGAGGGATGTGGAAGCTGTTGTCGTTGCAGTTGAGCCAAAAAGTGAAGGTGTAGCTGTAGTAGCACCTGCACCGAATAGCGAAGGTGCAGCAGCGCCTGTAGTAGACGGTGTAGCGCCAAAGAGCGATGGTGTAGCAGACGTTGTCGCTGTAGTCGAGGCTCCGAAAAGAGGAGTTGGTTGAGTAGCCGCCGTCGTTGCGGCCAACGAACCAAAAGTAAGTGGAGCAGCAGCAGTTGTTGCTGATGTGGTTGCACCAAAAAGTGATGGGGCACTGGATGTCGTTGTAGCTAAGCCAAACGACGGAGTGGCACTAGTCGTTGTTGCAGAGCCAAACAGAGATGGAGCTGTTGTTGTCGAACTTCCAAAAAGCGATGGAGCAGCTGAAGCGGTCGTGGTTGTCGCACCAAACAATGACGGCGCGGATGTGGCAGTTGATTGCTGCGAACCAAAAAGTGAAGTTCCCGAAGCTGTCGTTGTAGCTGCACCGAATAGAGACGGAGCAGGAGTGGCTCCAAACAATGACCCGGTTGTAGGTGTCTTTGTAGTCGTGGACGTTCCGAACATGAGCGTCGACGTGGTTGTCGCGGGAGCACCAAACAGCGAAGTTGTAGTTGTAGCTGCAGGGGCTGCTCCAAACAGACCTGCTGAAGATGTAGTTGCTGTCCCTCCGAGAAGTGAAGCTGTAGTGGTCGAAGGGGCACCAAACAAGCCTGTTGAAGGTACAGCATTGCTGGTTGATCCGAATAATGACGTTGTGCTAGTGGTGGCAGCACCGAATGTCGGCTTTGATGCACCAAAAAGTCCCGTAGACGCAGTAGTCGTTGTTGGGGCACCAAAGAGACCGCTAGAAGTAGTTGTTGAACCGAATAAGGACGATCCAGCGTTGGTGGCATTAGTAGATGCTCCAAAAATACTAGTTCCTACTGGTGCACTTGTTGTGGCATTGAATACAGATGCATTAGTCGTTGGGCCATTCGAGGTGCTGCCAAAGAGACTAGAACCTGAAGTCGTTGTGGCAGCTGAGCCGAACACTGATGAGCCTGCAGGTTTTGCTCCAAATAGTGATGAACCGGCTGTAGACGTTGTGGTTGACGAACCAAAAAGTGACGGAGCAGCAGAAGTATTGCTTGTGGACGAGCCAAATAGAGAGCCACCAGATGTTGTACCGCCGCCTCCGAATAACGACGTTCCCGTTGTGGCTGAACCTCCAAAAATGGAAGACGCTGTGGTCGCAGCCGTGCCTGTGGTAGATGATCCAAAAAGTGATGATGAGGTCGTAGAAGCTGAAAAGAACATTAGTATCTTGGTGAGTGAAGAAGTGATATTAACAAATTTCAGCGCATTACAGTTCACAAGTCAGTAAGTATTGGTCTCATCATAACACTATTTCTCTGAAATTATACGTCACGATACTGCAGCTTAAGCAGTGAACATGTGCGGCTCATATTCGACAATCCCATCCGGGTGAAAAGGCGAGGGCAGGAAGTGGTGAAAGAGAAGACACCGCTACCGCAAAAATCAAAGCATAAAGCATGGATCTCGTTCGGACCTACTAAGCTTCCAACCCTTCAGGCTTAGGTGGATATTCCATGCCTATATGCTAGGGCAGAAAACGTGCTCTGAACTAAGGTTTCCGTCTAGTCACTGCTTCAGCTAAACTCCCTGTATGCAAATTTCACTTTGGTATCTAATGGTAGTCGAAAGTATAGGACATTTTCAAAAAAGGAATTCCCTGATGATGTGGTTACCGGCACAGCTTCAATCCAATCCAAGGTATCGATCCCACATACTCCCTAATTCAACCTCCAAAACACATCTAATTATAATCCAAAATGATTGTCTAGATTTTATGCGGGTGCAAATGTAATGAGTCTCAAGTAGAGCGCAAAGTCCTCGGCCTAACCAGTCTCGTTGACCAAGTAAAATCTCTCTCAAGTTATAATAATTTGACCAATGTGGTTAATGATTAAATAGTGCCTTTAGGTGAACTAAAAATAAACAAACTTACGTGCACCGAAAAGGGACGAGGACCCAGTGGTAGTTTTAGCACCAAATGAAAAACTCATCTGAAAGTCATTTCTTGCATTATGCTCGGGCGATTTCGAAAAGATATAAGAAAGAAAATTAGGTGAAAATACAGCAGAGCAGATCGCTGAAAGGTAGATTCGGAAAGCCACCAAAATCGACAAAAAGTCTTCAATTCAACTTTTAATTCAATTGATAGTATGTATTCTAGAAAACCGGGAAAATTTAGCAAAAAAGCAACAACGAAGAAATAACAGTGATCACAATTGAGATAATAACAATGAGTATACAAAGGAACAGATACGAAAAACTTAAGCAACCTGAGCGCTACAATGAAAAAAATGGCTATAGAAATAGACAGTATCAAATACGATAAGAGCTTAGCATTGGCTATAACTGAGCACCATTCTTCCTATGGTCTTCAGAGTATTCCGCTTTCAATTTTTCATTTATTCCTTCCACGTTTCGTGCGATCTCAATTGCCAAGTAGATAATCTGGAAACGATAAAGATTACATATTCTGATTGGAAAATTTTAGAAATGGTTAATTGCTTGTTTATGATTAAGGATCGGACTTTGAGACTTTGAAAAACAGAAACGGAAAGAAATGAGCAGAATCTAGATCGAAAGAATCGCAGTCGAAGAAAGGAATTTGGCATTCACAGAGAAATCCAAACGGTTAACAGTTGGGTAAAAAGAACAAAAGCGTTCAAAAAACATACACCAAAGAAAAAGTAAACGATAATGCGCTTGCTATGATTGCTTGTACAAATAAAGATGGCAGAAATGTAAAATGAGAGTGGAAACAGCTTACCTTTGGAACAACTACAGTGTTCTCCTCACTGTAACCTTTACAAGCCTCTATCCGCATGAGTGTTCCAAGAGAGTAGTCTTCGACGACCTGGAAATATTCAATGGGAAACTAAAACCAGTGCAGCAGAAAGCAAAAATGTTTGAAGAGTTTGAGAGATATTAAACAAGACCCCAAGTAAACCGAATTCGGAGTACTATACAAACCCAATTATCTATTACATTTGAGACATACACACAAAACATCTCTACATAGTCACAAACCAGCTTGTCTGGCCCACCTCTCTGAAACTTTCACAGAAATCGTGCCACTTTTCCTTCATTCCACCATGCTTCAGCTCAACTTCCGTGACCTGCAATCAACTCCCTAGATAGATTAAGCAGAGCGAGAAACCATTAAAGCCCAAAGAACATAAAACATCACTGACCTTGTGTACATCAAGATCAGGAAAGGTATTTCTAAACGATGTATGAATAACGTCCTGAAGTTTGTTGAGCCTCAATACTCGCGTGTCGCAGCACATTATAAGATTCATATGTACATTTGCTCGTTCAGCCGCCTGGAAAAATTCTTCGCACCTCGAACTTCAGTTGAAGTTCACTAACACATCAAAATAGTGACCAGAAATCTTTTTGATGTCACTTTGAATCACTCACAAAATCTGCAAGCGCCATTGAGCACCATACACAGAAGCAAAAAACGTAAGAAGCAGATAAGCTTTATGTGAGCTCGGTGAGCTTTATGTGTAATGGAAGAGAACTTATGCCTCCAGCTTCTCTCAAAGCGACCTAGTTTCGACGGGCCACCGTTGTACCAACACACACCCTTAGTGGGTCTGTGTGGGTACATTAAATCAAAGCTACCCGGGTAGACCATTGACAAAATTAGCCTCTTTCCATGATTAGACGACACAAAGAGTTTCAGGGTATCTACCTGAATCGCTTCAGCGCTCGACAGGACAAACGAAGGGATAGGACAAACGCGATAGTTCATGATCAAGAACCGAGTGAACTGATAGGTCGGGTTCATCACATACTTTCTATGCCTGCCAATTAGAAGTCTGCATGCATGCAGTGACCCTATAGCGGCGCCTCAAGACCCACACCCAAGTTTAGAGATTCCCTAGAAAGGCCTTTAGGTTTGGTACTGGAGTATTGGTATCGTTTCCCTAATTTAGCGGTGCGGTTCTACTAAGCGTGCAAAGCTAGACAGCGCCCTGATAAGTTCAAGCCCTGATCTGAAGATCACGTCTTTGTAGGGAATCGACTCAGATTAACATAGATATACCAAGAAATCCAGCGAGTACTTCTAGAACCAATGTTTTGGATATAGGACAGTCGTTGGCATACAACATGCGAAAACGTAGTAACGTTTACACCGTGACTGTGTGAAAAACACTTCAGTTCAGGATCCGGTGACACCAATTCCCAACTACAACCCCAGACTGATTTATTTCCATCAAAACAACTATGACCACGAGTGAGAAATAACGGAATTTTCATGTTAGATATCGGGCTTACCTTCATTGCCCAAGCCATCTCTATAGAGGCGTCATTGACATATCTACTTGCATCTCCATAGTCGATGTCGTCCATTATTTCTGGAAGCTATTCAGTTGAATTTTGCAATGCGACCCTTCACCAACACTATTAAATTGCCGAAACAAGAATCAAAAACACTGAAGACTGACTATGAAGACCTCAATCCGGGAGAGAAACCATGAATCTTTTTATATCCACGTATTGCAAAGGAGTAATCATGCGGGACTATTGTCTATGGCTATAGCTATACTAATTTAATAATTATAACTTTGCTAATTCACAAAGTTCTGAGCTTCAATACAGTACCAAATATGGTCTTTTGCAAGTATTTCAAGCTGGAATGCTATTAATTACAAAATTAACATCCCACCTCTAAAGTTTGCACAAACACATCCAACATCAAACAAAAATTAACAATAGATAGTCACAGTTATAAAAATGAACGAAGATTGATACGGCAACAAGCAAAAAGGTGAAAAAAATAGTGGAGCCGATTCCCCAGAAATGTGCTCGATTTTTAGGATAGAACAGATAGGCCACTTGGAAAGAGACCACCAAAAAATTCTAGGATACCTCAATGACTCGAGAATAGAAGCGAAACATTAGAAATCCTTGCTATTAAATCTTAAACCTCTACGGTCAGATTTTGAAAAATGCGAAAATAACCTCGCTTTTACTTTCGACGCGTCACTGCTGCGGCACGGTCTCCGCATTGGAGCACATCGCATTCGTCAGACGTTCCTTACGTCCGCTGGACGGCATCAATATTACCGAGGGCTCAATGAACCGCCATGGTGTTTTGTATCCCTAAGAATTCATTCAGTTAAAAAGTATATTTTGACAGCGCGACGTGTCCGGTCCATTTGTTCTTCCACATTCCAACGAAAAAGACTGAAGTCTCGATCTCCAAAGCTCTTCAGTTACATATGTAGGCTTAGAAGCTGGGATCATTCACCTGAATATATCAGGAAGAAACTCCAGGCAACACTCTATCCAGAACCTATCGGTACCGATTCGTAGTCGGAAATATCTGCGTTGTCTTTCCACAAATATTTGATCCGGTCCAGTATTGTGAGTATATTTCCGTCATTGGAACGAAGATGATACATTCAGATAAACTTTCATCTCTTTTCTTTTAGGGGAAAATAAGTTAACAGAATCTAATCGATCCACTGACAAAGCATTTATAAACTTTGTCCATTTTCGTTGAAATAAAGTAGAATTGTGTAGCCTATCGAAGCTTATCCCTAGGAATGTGTAGATATGCTGATGGTGGGTTTAGTTCAGAGCCATAGGCTGCTTCCATAGTCCACGATTTGCTCCGCGAGCGAGCGACCGACCGACCGAACGTGCGAGCGAGCGACCGGGGGCAACGGTTGCCTCATGTTTACAAATGAATCTTGGTCTATAGCAGGACGAGTAGTCTTCCGGTCGCTCGCTCGCTCACGGGCCAAATCGTGGACTATGAAAGCGGCCGTTGCAGTCCCATCAGCACGACTTCTCTCCTTTTTATGGTTTCTATGTATACGGATCTTTCGTGAGCGTTGCTTGATTGAGGTTGGGAAGCTCAAGTACCTTCACCTACGAGTGGAACAAATATCAAGTCATAAGCATTCTTCAAAGGCACCGTTTACGATAAATTTGGGGTACCCTTTTTTGACGGGATTTGATAAAACTACTCTAGAATAAAGCGATAACAAC